TAGCTCCTAGCTATTCCATTTTCCAAGCACCAGTGGATTTCAATATCCTTTAAGCACCAGGAATTAGCTCCCCCCTCTTTCCAGCTGGTACTGGTGTTAGCACAGCTCCTGTTATGCTTCAAATAAGACACAAATGGTTTTTTTCTTAGCAAAATGACTTCATATATATTTATTCACAAAGTTACCCGATTTCACGTGGCACAGGTACCAAACAAAAAGTACCCCTGCATTCAGGTGTGGCACTGGTGAAGAAACACGTAAGACAAGACGACACCATGTCTCCATGGAAAGCAGAAACACCAGGGTACTGATGCAGGAGTGGAAGAAGAGCTCTTCCAAGTCTCCCAAATTGCCCTGACGATGATGTGCCTGTTGCACTCTGCCCCAAATGCACTTCTTTGATAAAGCCAAGTGTCAGCTCTGAAAGGGGAGACCCAAGGACAGAAGGGTTACACTAAACAGAGAATGTGAACCCCAGCAGAAGTTTTTAAGACTCTGTGGCACCCAGATGCTTAGCTGGAGATCGCTACAGAAATAAATGGGCAGAGCATCTAGTCACCCTGGCCAGTGCTCAGGAGGCTACAGAAAGGCTGAACTGGGCTCACTGCTGGTCAGAGCACCAAGTAAACAAGGTGCTTGCCCACAATAACAGGGCCTGAATGAGCATCAGCCCAGGTGTGGAGCTCTGTCCTAGCTGCTGGTCTGAGCACTAGTTTCTCTGTTAGTCTTGGTCACGGCCCATTTTGCCCGTCAGCCTCCGGCGCTGAGTCTTGGTGGTTCGCCCCGTGCTGGACTTCCGGATTTTCTTGCGTGGGCCATGGCCACGTTGGGACCTCTTTCCTTTTGTCTTTTTCTTGCTGTGCATGTGCAGTGTGGCAGTAAGGGAGGAGATTCTGTGCAGGGCAGAAAGAGAAAAATATTTGGAGACCAAAGCTTGCAGGAGCAAGGCAACAGCACAACAATAGCAGGAGAGCCCTATGTGGCCCAGCAGAAAAGCACACTAGCCATGCCAACCCCAGAGGAACTCCAAGATGCGCAGGAAACCCACAAATCTCCATGTGCACTAACAATTAAAATTAACTTTATGAGCAGTTAGCACAGAGTTAAACAGTTCTCCACACCCCCAGAATCGCTGTAAAACCTGGACACTGAAAAATGTAGAGAATGCCAAAGCTTTCAGCTTTAAGATCTTCTGACCTCCGGTCTTAGAGGCACCCTGTGATATGTGCCGAGATGAAGGACTAGGCAAACAGGGGAGGACAAAGCCCACCCTTCTCCCACCGCTGCCAGAGCCCGGTGCGATGGGACCTGTGCTGCAGCAGCGCTCCCTGCTGGCTCCTGCCCGCGGATCCGGGAACGAAACATCCTCTGGATCAGCTTCCAGAGCCTAACAGCAAAGCCTGAATGAATTTATACATACTTTTCAGACAAGAAGGGGTTTCTGGACTTCTTGGGCATTGTTATTCCAGGCTTGTTCACCACCTCTTCCCCTTTCTCTTTCTCTTCTTCTGACCCATCACTTTTTCCCTGAAAAAGAAAGCAAAAAAAAGAAAAAAACAATCCCTAAATACACATCAAAACAGGCAGGTTTGCAATTCTGGCATTTCCATTACCTTGTTTGTTTCATCCTGTTTTGTGAATCATCTAGTCAGAGATGAAGATTTTTTAATTCTCCACATCCCTTGCTGTCCAAATCTCAAGTTTTCTTTTCACAGTCCCTCAGAAAGGGACAACCAGTGAGATGTCCTACAGTAATCCACGCTACGATCCAAAAACTTCGGCATGATCTTAACAGCCATGCAATTAATGTCCAAACTATGAACCAAAGGTCTCAGCTTTTTTCTTAAATGACCATCAAAATCTCTTTAAGTGGATTTTCAGATTAGAAGATGACCATATAAATGTAAAAGGCTAACATAGACACTTCCCCAGAGCTCAAATCCAGCCACTAGTTGTGAAGATGAAAAGTACCAAGTCAAACAGTACCTGAGAGTCTCTATGAAACAAATATAAAGCCTCAGTTACAATGTAATTTGAGAATAAAAGTAACCACAACTAGAGCTGGATGGTTTCCTTATTTGTGGTCCAAATACAGGATCATGGACAAAAAAATCCCTCCTAATGCTAATAGTAATTTTTTTCTGGACAAGACACAGCAAAGAGCTTGAGGACAGCCCATGCAGCAATGTCTGAAATCTTGCTGCTTGTGTTGTATTGTTTTTCAAAGTACCACATGCTTGTCATCCAGTCCTGTGACACCTTTCACTTAACCAAGGTCAGCTGGGACTAGGAAAGGATTCCAAGGAGGTTTGGAGTGAGCTATCCACACAGGACTCTTCCTTCTCTTTAGATAAGTTGTGGAAGATTATGAAGTTATGAGTTTCTCTTTTCATCCTTGTTCCCAGCCACCTGCAAATCCTTGGGAATATTCAGGGAGCACCAGCCCTAAGGATGTTAATGGCTGATACACTAAGAGAGGTAGCAAAAGGCTTTACCACAGGGGTTGTCAGTCCAAGCTGGCGTGCGCCCGAGAGGTCCAGGTCACTGATGGTAGTCACTGTTACAATGTGGTTTGGGTGGTCGATGTTCACAGACTCTGTCTGTGATGTTACCAAGTGCTCCAGTTCATCAGCTTCCTCTGGAGAGACAAGAAATCCTGCACTGCAAAGTGCCCAGCACCCACTTGTTCATGCTGTGCTGTGCTGGGGAGGGGTAATGCACACTTTGCATGCAGGGTTAAAGGGTGGAAGGGCTTGAACACTGGCACTACAGCCATGAAGGGCAAGCTCTTTCTCCCCACAGAGGGGACCTGGTGACACCTTGGAGATGTCCTCCTGCTCCTTCCTTTCTGTGCAATCCACCTGATCCCTCGTCCCACCAAGGCAGGAGGGCTGCAGGGTCACCACTCAAATTACTGCCCACCTTCCCAGGGGGACATGAGAGGAACGAGCAGCTGTTGTTGCAGGACAGTGTATGAGCACCCCTGCCCCAGCTCCTACCACTCAGCCAAGGCTGTTGGACCACAGGTCCCCCCTCTTTCCCCATCGAGGGCCCAGCACATACCGAGTGCTTCCTCTCTCTCGCTGAGGATCTTCAGGTACTCCTGGTGCCGCTGAAAATCAGAGAATCACAGAGTCATTAAGGTTGAAGGAGAGCTCTAAGATTATCTGCCACTCTGCTGTAACCCCCAAACTATACTCTCCAGTGCCAGATCCAGACACCTCTTAAACACTTCCAGGGATGGTGACTCCACCACCTTCCCGGGCAATCTATTCCAGTGCCTGACCACCCTAACAGGGTAAACATTTTTCCAAACATCTAAATGGAATCTCCCCTGTCTCAGCTTATGATCATTCCCTCTAGTCCTCTCACTGCAGGCACGGCAGGAGAGACCTCTCTCCAACACCGTTTCAGGTAATTGTAGAGTCACGAGGTCACCCCTGAGCCTCTTCTCGAG